GTCCGTGCTAATATAGTTCAATAAGTTAATTCAAGGCTATTGACACTATAGTATCTGCACTGAGAAACCCTATATTAGCGGGTCTTCTGACAAAATAATTATTTTTACTTGTTATTAACAGGTTTCCGCGTGTAATCAGGCTACGCAATGGTTTGGATTGATGAATTGGTGGATTTCTACCGGATGGAGGCACCGTATTCACATCAACGTGGCCTTGCTAGCGGCGTATAATGTGAATGAAAAGGCACAAGCAAGAAATACTGTGGCTGTCAGTCAGCAGAGCTAAAAACCGAGGTCCGCGATCTTGCCTACTGGTAATTCATGGCGCCTGTCCAGATTAAGACAGATCATCGGTCTTTTGGCAAGGCTTCATTAACTGCCTGCCCTGCATATGGAGGTGAAGGGCCTCCTATTCCACACGGCGTTATGGTAATTAAAACGTAACCTCAAATGTCGTGTATTTACTGAAACCGCTTATTCTCTAAGCCGCTGTTTATAGATCCTTCCCAGCCTGAGTAGGTCACCTTTGGTCCTGCCCAGCTTCGAAACCATCTATTCCACAGACGCCAAGGCAGGGAATGCACCCGTGAGCATGTACCACCGTGGAGAGTCGATGAAACAGGATCGAGTACGGGTGCGAGGAGGATTGTTACATTACAGGATTACGAGAGATGGCGACAGTTTGGCGGCGGCCTTCAATGCCGCAGTGAATTGCTCGGGGTTGATGCTAATTTCATTGTCGCATCACGTGACCTTTGTCACCTCATCACGTGAGGTCTTTCAATCTGGACCCTTCACCAACGTCATACTTTCTTCATCACCCCACCCACTCAGTGACGCATGATATTCACAGATTTAACAAGTAGTGCGTTCCTGTTTCCAAGGTAGTTTACGATAACGTGCAAGGAAATGTTGTCTCAACACCATTACTCTGTGGTTTAATTTGTTGAATTCTCGTCCTACATTTTAATTATTTAATTGGTTTCAATGTACAGTATAGGCGATTGTGAAGCAATGTATTTTTTTACAGATATATTTACATGTAAATTTTACACATGGATAAATAAATAAATAAACACTGCAGATCAGCTGCACATTATTTTGGCTCACTTTTTAAAAGCCTCAATTGTTGTTTAGAATGTATTTTTGAGGAATGCATTGATGTTCTCGTTATGAATGAAATCACACAAAATTCATAATAAATCGGTTATTGAAAATGCTAAGATTATAATTGAAACCGTATTGATTTTTTTTAGTAAATTGTAGATTTCGTTCTAAAAAATACCTTTAGTATGCCGTATGCTTCAGTAAAATTATATATTTTGCTATTATTGCTTTGGTTTTTTAAAATCTCCCAATGCTGTATTAATATTAAAATGAAGCTGCAAGATTGGTTCTCTTATTATAGCTTAACAGTGACTATACAGCCTCTGTAGGGCTCTAGATATGCTCCTGTATACATGGCCACTGACATGCCTGCAGTGAGAAAATGACACATTTTAGGTGCATAATGCGACATATCTGCCACTTCGAAATGGTTCGATTAAACTTAGAAGACAATGCTCACGAGACCTATAAATTAGCCGCTAAAATTCACTAAACTTAATTTTTCAGCTCAATTTAATTTCCACTGGAGGATAAAATGGCCATCGCAACATTGCGTCAGTCATCGGGGGCTGTTTGATCTCCGTCACTATGCTGGTGCTGCTCGGTGTGAGTTGGTGAAGTGGCAGGGGAGGGGGAGGAACGACCGGTTCAGATGTGACGTGCCACTGACGTTAGAATAGTGGCTGAGAATCAAACATTTTGCAGGCGTCACAGCAAACCATCTCTCTCCCATGATAATAATAATTTAAAAAATTACGACAAATCTAAAAAAGATTGGAAGGATGTGTGATCATTTATGGCACTGTAATTGAAAGTAACATGTTTTAAAAATGCAATGAAACTTTTTGCAAATAATTGTCAAACTCTAGAGTAAATACATAATATATATTCTGGCATAATTCAAGTAGCATTGTTGTATGTTTTAGCTGTGGGAAGTGACATTGCGGTGACATATTATGCTTTTTCAACATGTTGACGTTTATTATTGATCTTATTTATTCCTCTACAATGGCAGGTCAAACCTTGTTGCAACTTATTATTATTATTGTTTTAAATTAAAACCTCCACAAATAAATCGGTGGTATTTCAAGCAGCGTTCATTTGGTAAAGAAAATAAGTAACAAAAATTGTTGTCAACAGTAAAAAAAAAGTCAACAGTGAGTATGATTAGTAGAAAATCATGATCCATGATAATAACTACAAATACCCACGAGAAACCCAAGCATAACAATGATGAGATCAAAAATAATGAGTCTGATTGAAGATGCAGATGAAAGTAATTTTGCGGTGTATTTAGAGACTGCAGTGCACTGATGAATACCAAACTTTGTGATTGACTAGATCGGTGTAAATAAACACGATTTACTGGGTTCACTCATTGGCTGACGTGGTGATATTGGGGTAGACAAAATTGCACGCCTCCTCACTCCGACCAACATTTCACGACGAAGAGTGGATTACGATTGATGGCTGCTACACGCGCGTAAGAGAACGACTATGTGACATCCACAGACTATGACTGGACTCAAATCCCCCAAATTGTCTATACGAAGACTGTGACCAGAATATACAATGCTGACTAAATTATGAACTGGTTTCTAGCCACGTTCATACCGTGTGCCGAGAATCCTTTCATTTTGTCCCCTTGATAATGAAAAGGAAACATGCCAATGTGCCTACAGAAGAAAGGCTCAAACCTGTACACATTGCACAAAGAAGCAACGAGAGACGCCTGCTCAGACTCACACTGAGAGACAGAAAAAGAAACACGTGGACGAGGGAACAAATGGAAATTAGAAGCATCGTATCGACCGGCAAGGAAGTGAGTGAGCTCTGACCATGAAAACGGTCACCATGAATATGGAGACCGGGCTCAAAGGCAGAAGAGGTGAGATGGGTGAAGGTGTTGTAGCACCGTGAGGGGTTGGCGATGGTGCGGGGAGGGCCTTCATCTGATAGTGGATATAATATAATAATTTACATTTCGTAAGGGGCATTTCATCCAAGGATCCCAATGCGCCGCCGTGTATGGAAAGCAGGAAATAAGACAGAACAGCAGCGTAAACGACCACAACTATTGGGAAAAGGGAAATTTAAAGAGGTGAGTTTTCAGGGCAGCTTTAAATAGCTCTAAAGATTTTGATTGTCTAATTGTCAGAGGCAATGGTCCTGGAGCTGCACAGAAAAAGCTCGATGTATGATCTTTATCAGCAGCCAAGATCATGGCTGCTGCTGCTGTTGATGGTGAATGGAAGGAAACTGGAGTAAAAAATATAACTGCTGGCTGAATTTAACTGATTGGCCGTGTCGGGTGGTGGAGGGTTGCGAGACATTTATAATAACGCGATATAACCCAAAACAAACCTTCATTATGAATAATATTGGTCGCGAAAGCCTACGTGTTAAACTGAATTTAACTTTCGATTTAAAGCTATCGTGACTGCAGGGATTCATCTTCTTGGTTCTTTCGGTAAAGTCACGTAGAAGGGAATTAATAAATAATAAAAAATAAAACATAATAATTCTCACGACAGACCTGTTCTTCACTTGAGGACGGCTGCTTGCGTTGTGGCCGAAACGTCGTGAGAATTATTTTATTATGTTTTATTTTTATTATTTTATTATTTCCCTTCTACGTGACTTTACTGAATTGAACTGCCATGAAAAACACCGATTATAATGACACACTAGTTATCATCAGCTCGCATCACTTGACTATCCCCTTATAACCCTTTATACTTTTGCTACACTGCATTCGGCCTCATCAAACACTAACCCAGGGCTTTAACACCCATCTCGGACCACGGCCTCAAAACTCCAAGAAGCGCCGTTGCAGATTTGCAAATGGAAGACGCGAATGCTGTAGTTTACCTTAACACTCAACATATTCAACACAACAAACACAGTATTCATATATTATTGAGCGCAGGCTGCACGATCCTTGTCCTCGTAGTCCTTGCCTGCAATCCAGCAACTTGCAGGCTGACTCACAGATCATGCATAAATGAGTCGTGAATCACCGGTTCTATCAAGGGCCGTGATATCCATAAAACATCTGCCTGCTAACTAACATGATTCCTTTGAAGGCAGCAGCATAGCAAGAATGTTTAATAATAATTAATTACATCTGTAATGCAGCTGCATCCCAATGCGCTGTCTATGGAAAGCAGGAAATAAACAAAATCAGGGTAAAAGGCTAGGACTCGGCAGTAAAGGCCAATTTAAAGCGGTTAGTATTCAAGACAGACTTAAAAGGCTTTACTGACTCTGATCATTCTTATTACCTTAGGAAATGCATTCCCTAGTCTGGGAGCTGCACTGGCAAAAGCCGCTCACCCCGGGAAATTAGCCTTCACCTCAGATTCCTTAGAGGAAGGCGATCCAAAGGTTTCGGGGAGCTCGTTGGAGCGTAAACAGAGATCGTCCCTGCAGATATTGTGGGGCTAACCCATTGAAAGCCGTGTAGATCAGCCGCAGGATTAGATACAGGATCTCTGTGCTGAGTTTCAGAGTCCTCCGGGCACACTGGCTTCATCACCCAAGCCTATAAACAAACGTCTTTCATTTTAAATAGAAATCACAATAATAACACGTGACCTTTCATCTTCTTGGTTCTTTCGGTAAAGTCACGTAGAAGGGAAATAATAAAATAATATAAATAAAACATAATAAAATAATTCTCACGACGTTTCGGCCACAACGCAAGCAGCCGTTCAGGTGAAGAACAGGTCTGTCGAGGCGACAGCGTCTGAATGACTCATTCATTAATCATGATGCTGCTGTAGTTTGAGTGCACATCCCTAATTTCTCGTGACTTCTGCCGTTCCCCCTGATGTGAAGGCGCTGGGGCCAATGTAACTTGCTGTTGTTGTTGTTGCTCTGTGTTCCGGCAGGAATGCAAGTGCTGGAATGGAACGGGATTCCTTTGACGGGAAAAACCTATGAGGAGGTGCAGTCGGTCCTCACAGTACCCACAGGGGAAGCTGAAATATGTGTAAGACTGTGAGTTTTTCCCCCATCACTCTGCTTACCGTTACAGCCTCATGACTTTTATTTTACATCATGTTATAAGGTGGAACTTTTATACACACACCTCCCTGTCCCTCAGAGCAGATGTCTCCTCACCCGCACCACTCGAATGCCATTTCCTTTGCTCTCTCTCTCTCTCTCTCTCTCTCTCCCTATGGTGTCTGTGCTGGGGCTCGCTCCCCCACTGGAGCTCTCTACTCTAACCCCATTCCCTGCTCTCTCTCTCTCCCCCCATGGTGCCTGTGCTGGGGCTCGCTCCCCCACTGGAGCTCTCTAATGCCTGCCGTTTTCCCTGTAATATTGTTCCTCTTCTCCATGTTCTTCACCCCGCTTTCTCCTGCTCCTTTCTGCTCTCTCTCTCACTCTCTCCCGCGCGCTCTCCCAACTTGCACTTCTCTCTCCCACTCTCCTTCCCTCTCCTGTTCTTTCCCATTCACCTCTTCACTCTCACTCTCCCCCACACCCTTTAACACTCTGAAACCTGTGTCCAATTCCCTCGAGTGCAGCAATGATTATCGACACCGCACATTGACCGATTAATCGTGTGATAGATTTCATTTAAATCGTATTGAATGAAATTTGATACGTGGGGGCAGGCGATGGGGGGGGACACAGAGGGAGCGGGAAAGAGGGGGGAATGAGATGTGGGGTTGTGGGGGGGAGGATAAGGGGAGGGGGCGATGGAAGAGGAATAACACACAGGATTGTGGGTGGAGGGAAGTGACTGACTTTTTTCCAGTCGATAAAGATGGCGTGTGTGTGTGTGGGGTGGGGGGTGGGGATGGAGTGGGGGGGGTCAGAGGGCTTGAGGAGGGTCCCGCCATTAACCATTGGCCAGTGAGAGCCACACACACTGACCTCCTCTCTCACTCTTTCCCCCCCCCCACAGAGATGTCAACATGCTGTCAGGCTCAGAAAGTATCCAACACCTGGATTTACACAGCCCAGCCAAGGCTGGTAGGTACTGTCCTCCCGCCCGCCTTCCCGCGTGGATCATGTTTGTACATCCGTGTGCTGAGCACTACCGTCATGTCAATATCATCATCCTGTCCCTCCACTCAGCGAGATCTGGCCCGGCCCACCCCGCCCTCGGCGGTCAAGCCTTCAGCCTTCTGCCCCACCCTCTGGAGCTCCATCCCACAGTCCCTTCGCCTCACCACCTCCGTTGTCTCCTTCAAGGCCTGTCTCAGAAACTTCCTCTTCGACTGTGCAACTCGTCACATTTACACGGCGTCTTTCGCGTCAGGAGGACGTCCCCAGACACTGGACAGTCAGGGGTGGACCCGAGCTGGAGGGGTTGGAGGGCAGGGAGGGTGGGGGGCAGGAGGGTGGGGGGTAGGAGGGTGGTTGAAGACCCGATTGAAGAGGAGGGTCTTGCGACATGCCTTAAAGGAGGCAAGGGAGGGGGCGGGGGCAGGCACAGGGGCTCCTGCGAGGTGAGCGGATGAAGAGTGGAAGAAAGACAAAGAAAGATGACAGGGAGACAGAGAGGTACATTGCCTTGAAATGTCAAGTGTGTGTCATGTTCACTGTTTCTGCACATCACCTCCAGCCCAACACACACAGAGAGGAGCCGCAGGCACTGTCACTCTCTGCCCCCGCCTCAGCTTCCGCAGTGGGAGAGCAGGGAACGTCTGTCCTGGTGATAAATAATTCACACGTCTCTCTCTCTGTCTCTGTCTCTCTCTCTCTCTCTCTCTCTGCTTCATGGCTCTCGCTGAGTATTTCGATCGGAATTGGAAAGTGGCCGGTTTGTTGACAGAAGGGGAGGGGAAACAAGCCGAGGGAGAGGAGAGAGAGTTGGAGGGACAACGCGAAGACAGGCGCGAAAGGAGAGTGAGAGAAAGAGGAAGCGACACAGAGAGCGGAAGAAAGAGAGGGAGAAAAAAAAGAGCGAGACAAAGCGAGAGAGTGAGAGCGGGAGGTGTAGAGAACAAAAGAGAGAGAACAGGAGAGAGATGTGAAGAGCGAGAGAGATTGCGGATGGGATCAGACAGCAGAGGAACACAGATGATGAAAGGCAGGTTCATTGTCCAGGCAATGGGAGATGAAAGAGGGAGGATGTTTCAGTGGCACCAACAAGGAGACTTGGATCCCATCTGAATTATAAATATTGTATAATAACCTTGGGTTAAAGTGGCTCATTAGATCACAGTTCCTGATCGGACATTTCTCCGCATGCCATATGTATCTAACACACACACAAACCCGTCACCGTGACCGGCCGGGTGTCTGACCACACGGAAACCCGTCACCGTGACCGGCCGGGTGTCTGACACCCACACGGAAACCCGTCACCGTGACCGGCCGGGTGTCTGACATGCACTGTGGGGGCCGGTGGAGCAGTGTCACCTGGTGGCTGTGCTGTGGTTGCCCTGACCGTTGCCCACCGTGCTCGCTATCAGGGTTGTTGGCTGCCTCAATGAGCAGCTTCTCTCTCTCTCTGTGTTTATTAATAATAATAATAATAATTTTTTTTCGCTGATAATCGCAGGAGAAAAACAAAAGTCTCCCGGAGTTGATCCCAAACAGCTGGCAGCCGAGCTGCAGAAGGTGTGGCAACAGATGCCTTCAGGCTCAGAGCGAGCTGCGCACAGTCACTCCACCACCACCTCAGCCGGCTCCAGCACCATCCCCAGCCCCGGTCAGCCCGGCTCACCCGCTATCAACAAGAAACGGCACAGCACTAAGGTCAGCTTCGCCATGTCCATCACACCCAACGCTCAGGGGGAAAAAAAATGCCTTCGGCTCATCTGATCTCATCCCAATCCCGGCCTGACTGACCGTCCATCCTCCCATCACAACGTCCGGCTGTTTCCTGAACGATGCCAACGTCCTGGCCTTGACCCGTCCTTCCTGGTAACTGCTGGAGTCTAACCAGCTAAACCCACACAGCGCTTGGCCACTGAAAGAGAGAGAGCGCTGTCTGGCCAAGCTTTCCCGCTGCTTGTCCAGCAAGGACCACCCTAACCCACCCCGTTAGTCAGGGCTTTGGCTCCGGGGTTACCAGGGGCTGAGGGGGAGGATTCCCTGCCCCAGTGACTGGTCGGCCCTTCCAGGTCCTGCCGATGGGCCGGGCCGGGCTGTGCTGCCATCAGCAGTGAGTGCCCTGGGACACTGCGGCCCCTCCCGGCTCAGGACCCGGGGACTGGAGATCGGCACAGAGAGTGAGGGGAGGGGATGGGAGGGGGCTCTGTTGCCAAAACATGTCACCTGGGAGCCAGTTCAGCTCCCCATCCCCAGGGAAGATAAGGAAACATCTCCCTGACAAACAGCGGAGGAGAGAAAAGGAAAGACACGGGAATTGTTACCAAATCTGTTGGTCTTTTATCTGTTTACAGCCTTCCGATGCCACAAGCAAGTCACGTCCGATCAGTGGTGAAATTCAGGTAAAACCCATCTCATTTACCATCCGCATCTCACCCACCTGTTCGCCTGCACAACACACAGTCACTAACCTTTACAAGTAAAGCCCTGTGAAGCGCTTTGAGAGCGGAGCTCTCTACTTTGATCCCATTCCCTGCTCGCTCCCCATCGTGTCTGTCCTTATCGGTCTCCCCCCTCTCCCTTACTCCCTGTTCAGTGATGTAAGGTAACAGTATTTAATAATAATATAACAATAATCCTTCTTATTAATTTTTCACGGCTATTTAATAATAACTGATGGTCATTCTCCCCCCCCTCCACTTTAGCTACAAATGAACTATGACAAGCAGGTTGGTAACCTGGTGATTCACGTGCTACAGGCTCGGAGCCTGGCGTCCCGGGACACCAACGGCTATTCCGACCCGTTTGTTAAAGTCTATCTGCTGCCAGGAAGAGGGTAAGTGACCCGTCTGCTGTGTGGCTGACGTGGGTGTGTGTGTGTGTCTGTGTCTGTGTGTGTGTGTGTGTGTCTGTGTGTGTGTTGATGTGTGTGTGTGTTGTCTGTGTGTGTGTTGGTGTGTCTGTCTGTGTGTGAGTGTCTGTGTGTGTTGGTGTGTCTGTGTGTGTGTGTCTGTGTGTGTGTTGGTGTGTCTGCGTGTGTGTGTGTTGATGTATCTGTGTGTGAGTGAGCGTGTGCGTGTGCGTGTGTCTGTGTATATTCCCAACCAAAGGAGGTGGTGCGGGGTTGGGGGGGTGGGGAGAACACACTCCCATTCCCAGGAGACATCCTCGGTCATTGTCCTTCCCTGAAGCGAGAGGTTCCCACGTGATGTTGTTGTTGTTGTTGTTGTTGTTGTTGATGTGATGATTATCCTCCATAATATTATTGTTCGCACTCCGCAGTTTAAATCGCAGTTAACAAACTCCCCTCCCCCGAGCGAGTGTGCGAGCGAGTGAGCGTGCGAAGGGTCCGGTGGATGGGAAGAGACTGCTGGAGAGCCTTTGTGTCTTGTTGACCTCGTCTGTTCCTTTCAGCGTCAACAGTTGTAAAGTGAATTGAATATCCTTGCCTCCAGCTGTCGGTCTGGCTCATCTCTCTCTCCCTTTCTCTCTCTCTGCCTCTCTCTTTTTTGTGTGTGTGTCTCTTTCTCTCCTCCAACCTCTGGATTGGCCTCAGCCAAGTTATGGTTGTCCAGAACGCAAGGTATTGCTTTTAATCACTCCTCTCTCTCTCTCTCTCTCTCTTTCGCTCTCGCTCTCTCTCTCTCTCTCTCTCTCTCTCTCTTTCTCCCCCAGTTTTTCGGGTAGACATTAATAATAATAATAATCCCGGCATTTACAGCGCCTCATCGCGTCGTTGAGAACGTCTCAAAGCGCTTCACAGGATACGCTATAAAGTGCAGCGACTGTGTATTTGTGAAAAAAACGCAGCAACCAATTGCGCACAGTGACCACATCATTGATATGAAACACAAAGCAGGTTCACAGCCGCTATATTATTACATTATATTATATTATATTATATTATATTATATTATATTATATTATTTGCTGCATAACGGAGCATGTGTCGATGTCAGGAGAGAGAGAGAGAGAGAGAGACTCAGACTGACACCCTCTGTGTTTAACAGTGCAGAGAATAAGCGCAGAACCAAACACTTACAGAAGAGCTTGAACCCCGAGTGGAATCAGACTGTGATCTACAAGAACATCTCCATGGAGCAGGTGGGTGGCAGGTCTGAGTGTGTGTGTGTGTGTGTGTGTGGTGGGGGGCAGGGGGAGCATAGGGTGTGGGATTTGCTACACAGTGTAGTGACTGTGTGTCTTGTGGACGAGCTCGGCAGCCAGTGTGTACACAGCTGGAGATGATGGAGTGTCTCTGTGCTGGGGTTGCGAGGGGATAGGGGTGGGGGTAAGGTGGAGGTGGGAAGGGGAGTGGGGGGGGGAACTGGATCACATTCCCATTCAGTGACTTTTCCCGCTCTGACCCGCAGCTCAGAAAGAAGACGCTGGAGGTTACAGTGTGGGACTACGATCGATTCTCCTCCAATGATTTCCTGGGTGAAGTGAGTCGTGTTATTGTTGCCTTTGACAAAACGGGTGTTTCTGTATCAGACAGAAATCACACAGGGGTTGGGACCAGGTCGCTGGCTCCATCGAGACACCTCCCCTGCATCCCCTGCTCTCCCTCGCTCCCCCCCCACCTCAACGTGTCTGTGCTGGTGCTCGCTCCCCCCCACACTGGAGCTCTCTGCTCTAACCCCATCCACAAGGACACAGCCCACAGCAAAGTAAGTGAGCGGGTCTGTAGGGTTGCAGGAGGTTTGAGGAGGGGAGGGAGGGGGTTTGGAGGGACTTGAAGGCGAGGCCGAGACGGTGGGGAGTTGAGGAGCCAGTGGAGCTGAGTGAGGCCGGGGCTGATAGGAACGGGAGGAGGCCATTCAGCCCCTCAAGCCTGTTCTGCCATTGCATAAGATCGTGGCTGATCTCTACCTCAACTCCAATTACCCGTTGAGACTCTGACCTAACAAACGTCTATGGGCCTCAGCAGTGAGAGGCCGGGGAGCCTGGTGGGGACTCGCAGCCTCTCCTGACCTGCGTTGTCTTGTTTCCCAGGTGCTAATTGACCTGTCCAACACCTCCCACCTGGACAACACCCTCCACTGGTACCAGCTGAAGGAGCAGAGTGAGAGCATCGAGCACGCTCGCTCCCAGTCTGGTCAGAGCAGCCAACAGACGCCCAAGACGTCCGTCATCAAGAGTCGGAGCCATGGTATCTTTCCGGATCCTTCAAAAGGTAATAATAATAATAATAATAATAATAATAATAATAATAATAATAATAATAATAATCGTCGCATCTGACACAGCGCCTCATCATGTCCTCAAGACGTCTCAAAGCGCTTCACGGGATGCACTGTAAAGTGTAGTGACCGTCTGTTTTGAAGGTGAAGCAATTTGGCTCCGAATGAAAAGGACAATTACAACCTGTGATCAATGCATTTATTAATGTGTTGTTTACTTCTCCCCCCCCCCCCCACTCTCTCGCTCACCTTTTCCCCCATTCCCCATCCTTTAATCTGTTCCCCCACGTTCTCCTCTCACCCTCTGCCCTTCTCACCCCCTGCCCCCCACTTCCCCGCTCACGTTCCCCCTTCCTCCCGCTCCCTCACCCCTTAACCACACTCCCCTAAACCCACCTCCCATTCACCTTCTCCCCTCTCCCCCACTCCTTTCCCCTTCGCCCACTCTACCCCCACAACCCCCACCCCCCCCACACAGAGATGCACGTGTCGACCATGGAGAAGTCCCAGAGCAGCCCCGTCAGCTCCAAGTCCTCGTCCGAGGGCCACCTGCGCTCCCACGGGCCTTCGCGGAGCCAGAGTAAGAGCAGCGTCACCCAGACACACCTGGAGGACGCAGGAGCTGCCATCGCTGCTGCCGAAGCTGCCGTCCAGCAACTGCGATTCCAGCCAAGTAAACCACCTCGATAATCCTCCTCCTCTCCTCAGCATGGCAGCTTAACATCATCTGTCCTGTCCTGTCCCGTCCCGTCCTGACCTCCACTGTGTGTGGCTCCCACCTCCTGCTCTCACTCCCTCTCTCTCTCTCTGTGTCTCTATACCCACCTCCCCCTTCCCTCCAGCTTCCCCGTCACTGACCGCACCGTCTCCCTCTCTTCCCCCCCCCCCCCATTCCCTCCATCTCTCCGGTTCTCTCCCTCTTCCCCCTTTCCCCACTCTCTCTCTCCTGTCTTTTTCCCCGCTCTCCCCCCCCCTCTCCCCTGACCCACACTCTCTCCCACCTTTCCATTTTCTCTCTTCCCCCTCCATTTTTCTCTCTTTACCCTCCCTTGCTCCCCCTTTTCCCTTCTTTCCCCCCTCTCTCTTGCCCCTCTCTGTCCCCCCCGCCCTTTTCCCCACTTTCTCTCTACCCTCCAATGCTTCCCCTCTCCCCACACTGTCTCTCCCCTCTGTCTCTGCCTCTCCCCTCTCTCTCCGTGTGGTTGTGTTATTGTGTGTCACTGATCACCCTCCCTGACTGTTGACTTATCATTTGGGGGTAAGGCAGTGAAACTGGCCTGTTCCTGGCCTCGAGTCTCCTCTCACACCAGAGCCACAACCACCATGTTATACACAGACACGAAGCCAGCGGTTAGCGGTCAGCACGGACACATCTCCCTCCTCCTCCTTCCCTCTCTCCCCACCCACACCACACACGCACACCCCTTCCCCAGTGAGAGACAGAGACTCCACATTGGGCCGGGCCAACCCAGGGACAGCCAAGGACAGTCTATAATTATTCTGTAATAATAATCCTGGCATTTGATACAGCGCCTGATCATGTCTTCGAGACGTCTCAAAGCGCTTCACAGGATATACTGTAAAGTGAAGTGACTGCTAGGTTCTTCCCCCTCGCCTCAATTGGAAGCACATGGAATCCCATTGACCGACCACAACTCGGGGTTATTGGAGAGGAGGGGGATTTGGGGCTGGGGTGGGTGGTGGGGGAGTTGCCATTGAGGGTGGCTTTTGGATACAGGCTGTCCTCATTGATAAACCTCCCGTGGGCCAGGGCGAGAGGGAGGGGGGTGGGGGTAGGGGGAGTGTGTGTATTTGTGGGGAGAGTGTGGGGGAGGTGGAATCTATCATGTCACATTATTACCATCCGCCACCTCAGATCCACTCCATCACCAAGCCGGCTCCTGTGGACCAAACACAGGTTCTTCCCAGATGGGTGGGTTTGCCGCGGTGTTTGTGGGGGGAACAATAACATTGTGTTCATTCATTGATCCATTTTTTGACCCACCTGCTTCCAGCCGCTTGAACCTCACACCCCTTTCTGCTCCACCCACTTTGACCCCACCCTTTATGCCCACCTCCTTATGCCCCACTTCCTTACGCCCCCTACCTCCTTCAGCCTGTTTCCCTTCTGCCCCACCCCTTTACTTCCCACCTCTTCTACCCACACCCACCTCCTCACGCCCCACCCCTTCGATCCCACCCTCCCCGCTCCCACCCCTTACCTCCCACCCCCTCTGACCCCATTGCCACCCCAACCAAACCTTTACCCAAATTGGAACCTCAGCATTAGAGGAACCGGGGCCAGTTTTGACTTCCTTAGAGCTCTGCACGGTGTCTGTGTGTGTTTTGTGTTTTATCTCTTTCTGTTTTGTTTTTACACACAACCCGTGTTTTTAAAACGAAAACACTTGTGTTTGCATGCCAAACATTGTGTAAGCTGGTCCCATCTGAGGATACACATTCTGGGTTTCCATTTCACCCACATTGACACAGCACATAAGGGCGGTCAGACCCAGACTCAGACCCAGACCCAGACCCATGCCGGGAAGCACAGACAGAGCATAACAGGCCTCCGCCCTATTCAGAGAACTCAGTCTGACAATCTGCCCTCACCAGCCAATGACAGCAAAGGCTCGCTCGCCATCAGGAAGGTCATGTCTGACGGGACGCCCAAGCCAGAAGCAGGTAAGGACTCGGCCTCCATTGATCAGCTTCACTGGGGTGGGGAGGGCATAGGCGACGCGGTGGGTGAAAATATTCTGGGGTGGGGGGAGTAGTGCAGGCGACTGAGTAAACCCCAGTTAAGAGTTGGTCCCATTTAAGACAAGTGAGCCATTGGCTTGACTGAAAGGTGCATCAGAGGTGAGGTACCCCCACGAGCAGACGGCTGACGAGGTGTGAGAAGGGCAAGAGGGAGCAATGGCTGCCTTGGGTTGGGGCTATTTGGAGGAATGGCTGTGCTCCTCCTCAGGGCTCAGGGCTTTCCCCTCCCATTTTCCCTTGAAGAGGTGATTGTAGATAGATTTTGTGGGGGCTGCTCGGTAAACAGAGACGGGTGCAGTAAGGAAAATTGCCTAAGGTTTAGTCTCGACTGGGTAATTGAACCCAGGTTCTCTCGCTTGCGAGTGCTCTACACTACACTACACTACAGGACCCCTCCATTCATTGTAGAGTGGATTGGCTGTGTGTTTTGTGGGTGAAAAAAACAACATACATCATAGGAACAGGAGGAGGCCATTCAGCCCCTCATGCCTATTCTGCCATTCTGTTAGATCATGGCTGATGTGCAATGGGGAGGTGAGAGGGTGGGGGAGCGAGTGAGTAAGGGAGAGTAGGTGTAGAGTGTTGAACCCGGCAGCTTTGACATTCCCTCCTCCCCTCTCCCCCCCCCTCCGCCCCCGCTCTGCTCTCCACCAAGCGAGGACGGCCAATCACAGAAACAGCGAGTCCTCCTTCTCCACCATCTCCTCGGTCAGCAGTGTGGGCAGCGGCTACAGCGTGGACAGCGAGGGCAGCTCCACAGGGGGCGACAGCAACGTCTTCACCACCCCGCGCCTGTGAGTCTGACAACAACAACACCGCACATCGGCACAGCGCCTTTCACATCAGGAGGACGGTCCGAGGCGCTGGACACTCAGGGGTTTGCACCCAAGCTGAGGATTGAGATCAGGAGGGGTGGAGGACAAGGCGGGGGGTGGTGGTGGCAAGATGATCATAGACGCAGTCGAAGAAGGAGGTTGTGAGATGAGCCTTGAAGGTGGCGAGGGAGGGGGGAGGCAACGGGATTCCGGGATGGAGTTCCAAAAAGTTGGGGCAGAAAGGCTGAAGGCCCGAGCGCCGATGGTGGAGCGGGGACTGGGTGGGGGATGTGGTGTTTGAAAAACAAAGCCTCAAAGACACCTTTCTCGATCATTGGTCTGTGACAGGGGGAAGATGAGCCAGGACGCTGAGTCTCCACTGAAAGGGGAAAAGCAAAAGGTGTCTGACCAGCTGAAGGGGCCAGTGATGGGCTTAGCGGACAGTGAAGGTAAGAGGAAGATCCTGTGCCTCATAATCCTTACGTTTGATATGCAATACAGTACAAAACTACAATTGTAAAACACCTTTCATGTCAGGAGGACGTCTCAAAGCGCTGAAAGGTTAGGGATTAGGGCCCGAGCGGGGAGGGAAGGGCGAGGCGGGGTTGGTATCAGGGGCTCTCTGTCCCATTCACTCCTTTTGGCTGTTCAGGGCCGCTGCCCTATTTGAGAAATGTCTGCAGGCCGCATAAGCAATGTTTTATGTTTCCCTTCCAGAAATATGCCAGGATGGCTCCCCAGTCCTCAGAGAATTGAATGCAGAACCCTCCATGATCTTGCTCATGCCAACCTCTGCGACCTCATAACCCCACATCAGCCAGTCTGCTTCCTCCGCTCAGCAGACACTGGCCTGCTTCAGGTCCCCGGCACTTCCAGCTCCATCGAAGAGAAAGGTCTTTAGACGGGACTTGAAGGAGGCAAGAGAGTAGGGGAAGCGGAGGGATTGCTGTTCGGGTGGGAAGTCCAGAGTGTGGGGGCAGTGATGCTGGATGCCTGACCGCACTTCCCACCCAAACAGCAATCCCTCCGCCTCACCTACTCTCTTGCCTCCTTCAAGTCCCGGCTGAAGACCTTCCTCTTCGATCGTGCCTTCAACCACCCTCCCATCCCAACTCCCTCTGCCCTACTCCCCTACACAGGTATTTAAGACCATGGGGTCTTAGGCTTTATATCCAGAGAGTAAGGAAGTGATGTTGAATTTATACAAAACCTTGATTGGATGACATTTGGACTGTGTCCAATTCTGGTCTCCACACTATAGGAAGGATATAGCAGTGATGAAAAGAATCTGATGATGCCAGAACTGGAAGGTTATTGCAGTCAGGAGAGACTGGATTAGTTTTGGACGAGAGTTAAAGATCCTGAGAAGAAAGGAAATAAGAAGAGAATTTTTCCCGGTGTCCTGGCCAACAATCCGTGCAAAGATCGGTTGTTCACCAGACCCGACCATGGAACCTTGCCATCTGCCTCCAAAATAGTCACCACAACTCGGCTGTAATTACTGTCAAGCTCTTCGAGATGGTTCAGCACAACAAGACACCATCTCGAAACACAAGCTCTCTTCTTCCACCCTGTGACAGCTCTGTGTGAAGGGTTTGGGGAGGAGATACACAACAGCCAACTGACCTGACTTTCACCCCAATCTTCAAACGGTTAAATGGCTCCTAATTACTGAGCTCCTCGGTGATTCAGCGACCGGCTTAGTCCGTCTCTGTCAGTGAGGAGCAGCTTGCTTGTGAGTCACAAAGCGCTGAGGAGGATCAAGCTTGGGTGCCCGCCAGCCCTCAGCACCCATCTCTCGCTTCAAGCCTTTTCTGCCGCCCAATGCTGCAGAGATTCATTCTGAAGAAACATTGGTGAATTATAATAATTTGGGAGGTGGGTGGACAGTTCCCACGTACCATTAATGTATCTTGGCACCATCTTAGCTTCCTCTGCAGATACGTTCACTGGGAGCATGGCAGCTTGGCTTTAGAGTCTTATCATGTCTTATGATCAGTCTTTATCACAGCACAAGATGTAATTCCCCCATCGTGTCTGTGCTGGGGCTCGCTCCCCCACTGGAGCTCTCTAACCCCATTCCCTGCTCTCTCTCTCTCTCCCCATGGTGTCTGTGCTGGGGCTCGCTCCCCCACTGGAGCTCTCTACTCTAACCCCATTCCCTGCTCTCTCTCTCTCTCCCCATCGGGTCTGCGCTGGTGCTGGTGAGCACTGGGCCACTTAAGCAAAATACTAGTTAAGAAACGACCCCAATGTGATAATTAGAAGATCACAAAGCAGTTTTCACCCCGTGGTTTGTTGACAGGTGAAGTTAGGCGGATCAGTGAATTTCACACAGCGGAAGCTTGTTTGTTTGTTTGCAATGTTTTATTTTCCTCTTCCTGCTTATGTTTCCACGCAGGGAAAACCCAGGTCATGGGAGAGATTAAAATAGCCGTGAAGAGGGAGATGAAGACAGATGGAGAGCAGCTGGTTGTGGAGATACTGCAATGTCGAAATATCACCTACAAATTCAAGTCTCCCGATCACTTACCAGGTATCAGCGCGCTCGCACATCATGGCCTCTTCATGGCTTGTGCCCCCTCTCTCCTTTCCAACCCTCCCCTCCTCTCCTGCACAAGGCTCCACACACCCATTACATCCCTCGTGACTGAGCTCCGTTAGTACCTCAGAGGATCCAGTTTGAGATCCTTCAAAAAACCCCTGTGGTTTCTCCGCACTCCATCCACGCAATCTCTCAGGTGGCAGCCTGGCGCAGCGGTAGAGCTCTCGCCCCCGAGACAGAAGGTTGTGGGTTCAAGCCCCACATCAGGACTTGCTGGTATTGTTTGCCAGGACGTTACTGTGTGTAAGTTGGCCTTCAAAATACAGTCACTACACTTTACGTGATATAATAGTAATAATAATCCTTACATTTGATCAGTGCTTCTCATGTCAGGATGTCACTAGGCACTTCACTGGGTTTTTTACTGTAAAGTTTAACGACTGTGTATTTTGCGGGCAAACCCGGCAGCCTAATTGCACACAGCGACGTCCCTACAAACAGCCGGGCGGTGAAGTGCTTTGAGCCGTCCTCCCGATGTGAAAGGCGCTGTATCAGAAGTGAGGATTATTTATCCTCAGTGTTAAGACAAGTGGTTTGACAGACTGAGGCGAGGTGGAAGTTTGGGAGCTTTATTTATCCCGTTACACAAACTGTGTTCCTATTAAAGCCGCTGTGATGGAAGTAAATAACTTCTCTCCAGCAGCTCAGCCCTGAGAGACAGCTCCACCGCAGTCAATGCAAAGTGATTTTATTGTAACTCTGAAACCAGTCACTTGTGATGACATTCCTCTGTGCATTGTGACTGACTTCCATATATCCCTGAAAGGCTGTGGAAGCCGATTTTAAGAGAGAAGTAGATAATTATTTGGGAGGACAAGTTTGCAGCACTATGGGGAGATAGCGGGGGAGTGGGGTTGATCAGGGCTATGGGGAGAGAGCGGGGGAGTGGGGTCGATCAGGGCTATGGGGAGAGAGCGGGGGAGTGGGGTTGATCAGGGCTATGGGGAGAGCGCGGGGGAGAGGGGTTGATCAGGGCTATGGGGAGAGCGCGGGGGAGTGGGATTGAATTGTATAGCTCTTTTCAAAGAGTCGGCGCAGACACGATGGGCCGAATGGCCTCTTTCTGTGCCGTAAAATTCTATGATTCTATGAACTCACAACCACTGACATATACAGAAGGCCATTGTGTCTGCGCCAACGCTTTTAAAGAGCTTTGCATTCAGTCCCATTTACCTTCCCTTTCCCCCTCATACCCCTGTAGTTTATATTATTTTATATAGCAATAAATTTGCTTACAAAAATACATTCACTGAACTTTAAAGGAAACTCCGGTGAAGCGCTTTAAGATGTCTCGATGACATGATAAGAATCTGTATCGAATTCAAGGATTGTTATTATAAACTATGCATTTGCCAACATAACACTCCAGATTAAAGACAATAATAATAATTCTTGCATTTGATACAGCACCTTTCATATCAAGAGGATGTGTTAAGGGGCTTTACACAGCTGACTGGGATGTAAAATGCAAGTTCTTCCTGTCATCCTCTCTTTCTCTCTTTATTTCTTTCTCTCTGTTTCTCTCCTTCTACCTCTTTGTATCTCGTCTTTCGTTCTCTTTCTTTCTCTCTCTTTTTCTCGCTCTCGCTCTCTTTCTCTCCTTGCATTCGCAGACCTATACGTGAAATTGTACGTCATAAACGTTTCGAGTCAGAAGCGGGTGTTTAAGAAGAAGACCCGAGTCTGCCGGCACGATCGGGAGCCGAGCTTCAATGAGACGTTTCGTTTCAGCCTCAATCCGTCCGGGCACTCACTGCAGGTAATGTGGCCTGACTGCCAGACCCAGAGCTTTACATCACCCCAATTGTTTTCTGGTCAGAAACCCGTCACCGTGACCCACACGGAAACCCATCACCGTGACCAGCCGGGTGTCTGACACACACGGAAACCCGTCACCCTGACCAGCCGGGTGTCTGACACACACGGAAACCCGTCACCCTGACCAGCCGGGTGTCTGACACACATGGAAACCCGTCACCGTGACCGGCCGGGTGTCTGACACACACGGAAACCCGTCACCGTGATCAGGTTTATGGATAAACAATAATAATGTTTTTGTGTATCGAGGGCGTGTTTATCGATGTTCATCAGTTGTGTGACAGGCTGGGACCAGGCGGAATTCTGGGCTCTGATCGTGTGACTTTCACCCCCACTGTAGATCCTGCTGATTTCCAACGGCGGGAAGTTCATGAGGAAGACTCTGATTGGGGAGGCTTACGTCTGGCTGGACAAGGTGGACCTGAGGAAGCGAGCGGTCAACTGGCACAAGTTGCTGGTCAGCTCTCTGGACAGCCAGCGGGCGCTGGGCACCACCACCCCATTAAACTGACCCCATCTCTGTGCCAACTGTAGAAAATACAAACCAAGTTCTCTCTCGGTCTCCGTGTTACTGTACAGCTGCGTTCTTTTGGAAGGGCTAACTGGACCGTGCCCGGCCTGTTTGGACGGTGACAAATGGTGCCTCATGACTGAGGCCTAGGGTAGTTCAGGCTTCAGGTAGGCCGTCGTATCTACTTGGCCGGGAGTGAGTGCAATCAAGGAATAACTGGGCTGTTCTGTTTGTATCAACCACCATGTGTGTAAGTGTGAAGAGCGCAGTGGTGTAAGGAGTAGCCTGATGTTTGTTGGCCGGTGCTAAGTAACGCACTAGATTTTAAAGGCCAGTTGAGATAAAGGAAATTACCACTGACATAAAGGAAAGAGCTCTGCGTGGGTGGAGCGATGGTTTTAAAGCAGGACAACTCCACACAGGCGGAGAGATTAAAGGGCACCGCTTGTGAACCCTGTTTCCCCTCCCCGCACATTACAACCACACACAACAGACCTCTAGTATTTTTTTGTTGTGTGTGTGAGTGTTTCTATATGTCCGTATGATGGTTGTGAAGAAACCCATTGCAATTTGTCTTGTTCACACAGTAAAATCTCGGTAACTCTGGAAGTTTAAAAAAACACAAGTATTCAGGTTTGTTTGATGTGTTAAATGTCAAAGGGAGGAAATGGAACTGTGGGAGGAGGGAGAGCGATGGATGCACGTCGAAAGTTTGCTGCGTTAGCACTGAGGAAAGACCTGGAAATGTGTTTTGAGTAGAGTCCGTTGGGTTTATTTGGTGGCTTTGTAATGGCATTTGGAACCTCTGATTAACTGACGAAGGCAGAAACCAGAGGCGCCCAGTTTATTTATTGACAGAGAAGCAGAGATGGGTTGTATTTGGCTGCGGGCATCTAAAGCCCACATAAAAACTTTCCTTCCTGCCAGAATGACTTTAGTTTTGATATGTCGGCGACAAGTGCCAAGACAGCGGCACTGTGTGGGGTTTGAGGGAAGTCGGCGGAGGAGATGGGGGCTGGGGGCAAAGCTGCGAAGTTCAGGAAATCTTCCGTTGACAGTGAGGTCTTTCCCCTCCCATTATTTGCGGTACAGAAAGATACTGGGAAAAATATGGTTCTCATTTGGCAAGGTCACTCTTATCTCTACAAAGTACTTTGAGGCATTCTCCGATGGGAAAGACGCTCTGCAAGAGCAAATTGTTACTGTTGTTGATTAGGTGGTTCAAGAGGGGAAAAGCCCAAAGCACGGCCTTTCCTGTGCTATAATGTTCGGTGTTTATGGGCTGGGGGCTGTACTTGTTGAATGTTTTCTACCCTGGCTTGTTCCTGTGGGTGGAAGTGCATGTCTCAGTGGACTTGTCGTACTGTCACCTTTGTTCGGTGTTCAATTGGTTTCGGTCACTGCTCAAGTCTTATTTAAGGTACGTCCCCGCAGTTCTATGAGATAATAAATATATTTTTGGGTGTGCGTGCGTCAATGGGGGAGGGAGAAAGATAACAGAGTCATCCCTCAGAGGGTGAATTGTGTAGGTTAAGAGTTTGGTATATGCTTCCAAATCGTGCATTGTCTGATCTATAAATATATACATATATCTATATAAAAGAAAAACTGCTTAGTTTGTCAGGAGGTACTCTATGCAAAAACAGACTCTATTGGACTGAAGACGATATGGCAGGAGGGCGAGGAGGCTGAGAGTAAAAAGCACATTGTGGGTATTTACAGTATAATGGGCGTTCCAATGCAGGGACATTGACACTAGAGTGAGGGGAGCCTGTCAGGACACTGGATACCTACCTACTGTCCCTCTGCAAGAGTGGAGGGCACAAAGATTCCCGGGCTGACTGACCGACCGACAGACAGCAGGAGTACAGAGCACTGAGCCCCGAAACCCTTCGTGGTCCACGCGTTTTGAAGTCCTTTTCGTTTGCCTCCTCGGGGACCTGTTTATCCGAAGACACCACGACCGATGCAAGAGCGACACTCAAAGTTTGTTCTTTCTCCAAAGCGCTGCCGTCTGGCTTTCGACGTGCAGCCATGCATTTTTCCTTGGACCGGCTGTGATAGCGACACCGTGTCCTGTGGGTGGCATAGCGGTTATCAACGGCAGATTTTTTTTTGTGGTAGCTATTGAACGCCGTGATGTAGCATTTCATACAGTGTGTGTTAGGCATTAGACGGATGTTATGAGCAAGTCACTCGCCAATGGTGAGGTTCCAACAAACTGGAAGCAAAGCAAATGTTTTAATGCATGTTTCACCTGAATTTCCTTTTTTTGTAATCCTAATTTACGGTAAGCAATTGCGAGGGGAAATATGCTCGAGAAGCACAACTAAATAACGATTGATCTTTGTGTTCTGCAACCCAATGTTATTGAAAAGGGGTTACCCAACTCAGTGCCAATAGCTCCCAACGATATCACACTTTATTTCCGGGTTCGTAAGGCACACATCGAAGCATTCATTGACTTGGTGGCCTCTAATTATAATTTTTTTATTATTAATATATAGTTTATTAAAACAAAGACTGCCCTAAACACTTAAAACTCGGGAAGTTTCAAACAAAAACACAATTTAAATATTCTCAAAAAGACGTTCATTCGCGTTTTAAGAGTCAAAATTTCGAAAAGGAAACCCTTTTCCTTCCGAAAGAGTCGGAATATATTTTGAGCTAAACTTTTGGTGTGATGATTGGGGTGGGGGGTGGGGTGGGGTGGGGTGGGGGTGGGGGGGGAGCAGGATCGATAGACATGCGTGTGTGGAGAAACCGGGGTGAGGGATTTTTATGCTCGCGATTTTTAAAACTTTTTGAGAATATTCTTCTGGGATTTTTGTTCTGACTCCCCCACCCCCCCCCCACCCACCCCCACCCCCAACAAAACACACAGATATATTTCTGTCTGAAAGTAAGGTTATCTTTTAAGAGCAAGTTGTGGTGGTGAAAGCGGATTCTGTTTTTTTGTAGACCCTGAGAAAGGGGGCACTGATTCTTGACACCCACATAGCTCACGTCTGTCGCAGTTAAAATGTCCTTATCTCGTGAATCCAAAGCCCTGACCCCCTGAGACGAATGCGAGTTCTAGATGTCTTAAGTGTGAAACTGTCCGACACAAAATAAAGTGATTCATTTGTACACTGTAAATATAACTCTTTTCTACAGCAAAATTTAACGAACTTTTTTTTTTTTTGGGGGGGGGGTGGGGGGGGGAGGGCGGGAGAGAGGGTGTTCTCTTAATCTTTTTTTTTTTGGACTGACATTCAGCATGCGGGTGTGAAAGCAAAAAAAACAAACAAAAACAGAAGCAAAAAAAAAAAAAAAAATGTCCTGATCGGGGCGGGGGCCGAGGGGAGAGAGAGAGAGAGAGAGAGAGAGAGAGAGAGAATAAAAAAAAACTTGAACGATTCCAAAAAAAGAAAAAAAAATCCACATGAAAAAAAATTGTAGTCCCTGTGTATAACTGTAAGTGTTCCAGTGGTGACGGAGTGGGTCGAATCCACGAGTATTTGTTGTCGATCTTTTCGTATCTGTCTGTACAGCGATTTTTCGTTCCTTCCCTTTCTAAAAAACGATCCCCTCCCACCAATATTTCAAGTTGTCCCGGATAGATCTTCACGTGTTTTCAGAACTCCACAGCCACAAATTCCACCCGCTCTTAGCCTTCGGCCGTGAACTTTTAACGCGGTGCGGAATTCTCCATTTTGGAAAAGATGGTTTTTTTTTCCGATTTAAGAACTGCACCAAAAACCGCCTCTACATTAAAAGAACTCACGCGCTAATAATATATAATTAGCCTCGCATTTGACGCAGCGCCTTATTGCATCGTCGGGACGTCTCGAAGAGCTTCACGGGATTTAACCGTGAAGCGCAGTGACTGTGTATTTCTGGGTGAACAGCTAAGGCTGAGACCGGGCTAAGAATTCTCGGCCTCTGGTTCCCTCGTAGATGTTGCATGTTTGTACTCGGACGCTCATTTTCACCTCTTTCGTTACCTCTCTTTTTTTGTTGTTGTTGTTGTTTCCAATTCAGTCGGCAAAAAAAAAAAACGGAGAGAGAAATTATTTTTCTTTCGGATCCTCTGCTGAAGGGAGTCGATGGGGGGGGGGGGGGGGGGGGGGGGGGGGGGGGGGGGGGGGGGGGGGGGGGGGAAGTTGTATAAAAGGAAAGGGGTTAAGTTCCGTAAATGATCCCTGTATAAACGAAAGCTTGTAAATGTGTCCGGAATTTCATTCTGTGTAAAGATGTCATGGTTTTGTGGTTGTGCAGAGGGTGTTTCTGATGCAACCTTGTGCTGTACAAAGGCTGTTTCCCTTATTCCCCAGTAATAAATATTGACAACAGAATAAATATCTGGGTGTCCCTTTTCCTTGGCTTACTTAATTGAGTATTCAGTGGAGTGGACATCACAAGATAGATAATAAATCATTTCACAACTAGTAATGTTAGTTGTCAGTTCTTGCTGACTTTCCTGGTGAACATCCAAACAGAGACCGGCGGCCGCCTGTCGTCACAATCCGCCCCCAAACCTTTGCGTTTCTCAGCCCGGACTGACTGGACTATAAGACTGTCCCCCTCTCCCCAGGATGATCCAGGCCAGTGGGCCAACCATGCCTCGCTGATCCCCCCCCCGCCCTCCCCACCCCGTTCAGTGTTAGTCTCAGAGTGGGTGTTTTGGTTGCCGCCACCGACCAGAGCTAGTTCCCCACAATGCCCCCACCCCTGTCCTCTACCCTCCATTACTCCCGCTCGGTTCTCCTCTCCCACCCCCCTCCCTGACTCCTATCCCTGCTCGACCATCCCACCGCCTCCCTCTGCTCCAGCCCGCGAATCCCCCGTCAGGCCCATCGTGGGAGGTGCCGCTGGCTGTCCAACAGCAGCCATTCTGACTGCCCTATCCCTCAGTCTCGCCGCAAGGCCCATCGGTCCCCGACCACGGGAGCCATCTCCTCCCTGATCCACATCCCCATCCTTCCTGTCAATCATTCCCTCTCCCCTCACCCCCACATTCTGCCACCAACTGTCCCCTGTGCATCGGTCTACAAAATGTCCGCCCCCTCTCCAACAAATCACTCACCATCCAAGACCTCATTGTCGACGAAAACATCGACATTCTCACCCTCACTGAAACCTGGGTCACTCCAGGAACAGCTTCCCCCTGACAGAGGCCACACCACCGGGCCACACCTTCTACAATACCCCATGACCTGCCCCACCTTCCTCCCCATTACTCCTATTCTTAAAAAAACCTCCCTGGATCCATTCGTGTTCTCAAACTAATACCCCATCTCTAACTTCCCTTTCCTCTCCAAGGTCCTTCCTCTCCCGTCACTCTCCAAATTCCAGTCGGGTTTCCGGGCCGCCCACAGCCCAGAAACAGCCCTGGTCAAAGTGACAAATAACAGTCTGTCCATCTGCGACCAGGGCTCCCTCTGCCTCCTCATCCTCCTTGACCTCTCTGTTCCCTTTGACACTGTTGACCACTCTATCCTCATCTAGTGCCTCTCCTCTCACCTCAACCTTTACTCCTCTATCCTTGACTGGTTCGGATCGTACCTCTCACACCACTTCCATTTCACCTCCTCAAACGGTTTCCCCTCCAGCCCCCGCACCGTCTCGTATGGCATTCCTCAGGGCTCTGTCCTTGATCCCCTACTCTTCAATATCTATACGCTCCCTCTTGGTGACATCATTGGCAGATATGGGGTCAACTTTGACATGTATGCGGATGACACCCAACTCTACCTCTCTGCCTCCACCCTTGACTCCAGGACCCACTGCTGTCCTGAGAATGGCTGACAGACATCAAGTCCTGAGGAGAACTAAATTTTTTCCGTTGAACGTCAATAAGACCAAGGCTCTCCTGATTGGCTCCCATCAGCGCCTCCTCACCTCAGGCGCTGACAGCATCACCATCCATGGCTGCACATTCCACCTCACTGAGCCGGTCCCGAACCTTGGCGTCTTGTTCGACCCTCAACTATTCTTTCTACCCCATGTCTGTGTCATGACCCACTCTGCCTTCCTCTACCTATGCAACATCACCCGCCTCCGCCATTGTCTCACACCGCAGGCCAATGAAACCTTCATTACATTGAGGCTTGACTGTGCAAACTCCTTGCTTGCCACCACCAACCCTTCCCGATAGGCTGCAGATCATCCAGAACTCTGGAGCCGCATCCTCTCCCGCAACAAGCTCAGCGACCCCCATCCTCGCCCGACTCCACTGGCTTCCCATCACACAGAGGATTCAGTTCAAGATCCTGGTCCTCGCCTTCAAAGCCCCTCCATGGCCTCGCTCTCTGTGTGTGGAGGGTGGAGAGGGATGGAGATGAAGCGAATCTGGTTACTCAGCAGAGAGGCTATCACCAGCACAGAGTATATGAGCCAGAATTTCAAGTCCTGTTATTTCAATGCTGAACCATTGGATGGCAATGTTGCATTCAAAGTAAAATGGTTTATTCCAAAATCTGCGAGAGGTGGAGAGTTCTAATTACTGTATTTTACAGGAAACTTTCTTGTAACTGTACACACAGCTGCAGCATCACAGCAAGCCTCAGAGTCAGGTATTTCATTTTCTATTGTGGCTTTCGACTACCGAAGGGGTCCTGTAGCTCAGTGGTTAGAGCACTCGCTTTGCAAGTGAGAGACCTGAGTTCAATTCCAGGCAGAGGGCGAAACCTTGGGCAAGTTTCCTTACTCCACACAGAGCCTAATAATAATCCCTCCAAAACCAAAAACAATAATAAATTGGTCATTTTCAATCTACGACTGTTTGTGGGACATTGCTGTGCGCAATTGGCTGCCGCGTTCGCCCACAAATATACAGTCAATTCACTTTACAGTGTGTTCTGTGAAGCGCTTTGGGACGTCCTCCGACGTGAAAAGCGCTATATCAAATGCAAGGATTATTATTATTATTATTATTAAGGCATAGGCTTGGAGAGTTCACATGAAATTGAAAGAATGCAGAGTCAATTCCCAAATGGGTGTTTTCTGATAAAGAGCAGTTGGCCATCCTGCTTGGCTATTAATCGCCGCCTTGCCTCTCGCTCTGCTAGTTTCCACCACTCCTGCTCACCGAGCTAGTGCTCAAATTTCTGTTTGACCCTCAGCTCTGTTACATACCCTACATCTGGTCTTTGATCAAGACTGCCTTCTCCCGTCCCCAGTGCAGCCTAAAGCCTCATTCACATTGTTGCCACGTTAAGATGACATCTCTGTAACACTATTTTCACAGCTTCCTAGCTCTACCCTCCATAAACTTCAGCTCATTTCAAGATACTTTCTGACCATTTTGATCTCATGGTTTAGGTTGACAGCAGAGTGCAGCACTGGGGGGTGCTCTGCATTGGTGAAGGTATCATCCTTCAGCTGAGATATTAAACCAAGACTCTCTCTGCTTGTTCACGTAGACATTGAAAAACCCATGACATGATTTATAATGATAATCCTTCCATTTGATTTAGCACTTTTTAAGTCTTCCAGACCTCTCAAAGAGCTTCACAGAATATTCTGTAAAGTGAATTGACTATCTATTTCGTGGGCGAAACGCTGAAGGGAACTTTCCTCCAGTGTCCTGGCCAACAATCCCCCAAATAAAATTGGCCATTCACACTATGGCCCATAGTGGGAGATTGTGTTGCTCCATTTG